AAAAAAAAAAAAAAAAAAGAAAAGAAATCTCAGTATTCAGCACAGAGCAGGTAGGTATACTGGTATGAATCTTCTATAGATCAATCAATCAATTATCCATCTATCGGCAAAATTAGCTGATAGCTTGTTATACCGATGACTTCATACTCAACCTAGGTTCTTCACAGCTCCTAATCTAGTTTAATGCTCACAAAAATCTATCATTACCACCAAATAACAGATGAGGAAACTGAGGTCTAGCCCAAAGTCACGCAGCTGGTGAGTGTGGGCAACAAGCAAAGGTGAGTTTGTCCCCAGTGCTCAGTGACATTTGGGTGTGTGCCTGACACCCAGCACACACGCTGGCACCAGCCTGACCGCTGGCTGCAGTCAGGACTGTTTTCTTCTCCCTTTTATAAGGGAACTGAGACTCAGAGTTGCCAAAAATGAATAGCTGGTGAATGGTGGTCAGGATGCAGACCCAGGCTGGGTTGACTTCAGAATTCTCTCCACTTTCCTCAGGGAGGGAGAATAGGCAGCTGGCAACTGGCTTACATAATAACTCTGTCTGTGACCCGGATAAGTGGATGAGATGACCTGGTGGCTGACAAGTTACTCAACTTCTCTGTGTTTCTGTTTCCTATAAATTGGGGATAGTAACAGAACCCACGTTCACAAGGCTTAGGAGAGGATTCCAACAGGCAGACTCTGAAGCCTCAGCTCAGGGCCCTGTCCATCCCAGGCATTGTGTAGTAGCCATGCTCTTAGTGTCCAGCAAATGCTAGATGCTTCCAGAAATATTTGTGCAATAAATGACTAAGTTAAGGTGGACTGGAATAGAATTACAAATGTTTGAGACAACTTCAAAAAAGGGACGATTAAAACATTAGCTCAGCTGGAGTGAGTAGCTGGTATACCAGTTTGGCACAGAAATTCAAGACCAGAAAGGTACAAGTGACCTCACTTTTCTCTTACCAGGACCTGAGGAAGCTGCCAGTGGAACACAGAGGTAGAGCTGGGACTTGAACTCTGGTCTGTGGGATTCTGGGCCCTTGGTCTGACCCCTGGGCTGAGTACAGCCTAGAGAAAGGTAGAGTCAATGCCTCTTTGGCACCCTGGCACCCCCTGAGCACAGAGGGGGGTGGGGGGGTGGTCATGCATGTCCCTGAGCACAGCTAGCGCCTGTCCCTTGCTCCATGGGTGAGAGACCCTGGCCTGGGAAAGGGGAGGTCAGCTGGGGCCTGGAGCCTGCACTTCACAGGGAAGTGCTTGCTGTGTCAGGTGAAAGGAACCCTGTGGTTCTGCATAGCCGTCCAGTGGGTGGCCCTCAGGGACCCTTGATCCAACCTCACCTTTTACAGATGGGCAAACTGAGGCAGGCCCAGGGGCCTGGCTGGCCCAGGGCTGCACATTCTTGAGCATGCTGTCACGAACACCCTGTCAGGGAGTCAGGAGACATCGCCTTCCATCCTGAACAACCGCGTGGCCTTAGGCAAGTTCTTTAATAGCTCTAGGCCTCAGTTTCCCCACCTGAAAAGCGTGGCTACAAGTCCCGTCCTGTTGATAAGATGATGGATGACTGGAGGGGAGGTTTCCTATATTCTGATAGATGCCTAAGTGAGCTAGCCGGTGGTCTACGTGATTCTTGGTAGCTGAGATTCTTGGGGGCCCAGGGTTTTCCTTGGGCACTCCTATGCTCAGCATTGCTGTAAAATGGGTGATGGAGAGTGGCCTTGTTCACAGGGGCCCCAGCCTTTGCAGATCTGCTTTCACGACCAGGCAGCTGGCTCCAGGTCAGAAGCAGGGCACTGTTGGACCAGACACCCTGTAAGACCCAAGAAACGATGCCTCGGCATGCATTAGGTATTTGTCCTAATGTTCTCCCTCCCGTTGCCCCCCCGCCCCCTGACAGGCCCCGGTGTATGATGTTCCCCTCCCTGTGTTCTCATTGTTCAACTTGTACTTATGAGTGAGAACATGCGGTGTTTGGTTTTCTGTTCCTGCATTATTTAAATACATCAGTATAAATACAACAGCTCCAGTAAAGACTGAGAAAGCTGATCATTAAACCAGGCCTTAGAATAAAAATCAGGCCAGGTACAGTGGCTTACATCTGTAATCCCAGCACTTTGGGAGGCCGAGGTGAGTGGATCACCTGAAGTCAGGAGTTCAAGACCAGCCCGACCAATATGGTGAAACCCCTTCTCTACTAAAATTACAAATTTAGGGCCTGCCGGCATGCGCCTGTAGTCTCATCTACTCGGGAAGCTGAGGCGGAAAAATTGCTTGAACCCGGGAAGCAGAGGTTGCAGCGAGCTGAGATCGCGCCACTGTACTCCAGCCTGGGCAACAGAGCAAGACTCTGTCTCAAAAAGAAAAAAAAAAAAAAGAGAATAAAAATCAAATTCAGCAGCCACATTCAGCTCCCTTATGTTGTCATGTTGCCTCTTACAGGTTTCATTGGGAGTCACCCATTTAAAGAGGAGGCAGAAGGAAAGAGTTGTGCATTGGTGTATCCATTGGGTTTTGGGTAGCTTCTCATCCCTCTCCCGGCCTCAGTTTCCTCATCTGTGAAATGGGAAAGCAATCCTGTCGCTCTAAATGCTCCCTGGCGACAGCTACATAGACGGTTCCATGGACCTTTTCCTCCCCTCTCCTCACCCTCTGTAACAAAGCTTTCTCGACTTTGTAACAAAATACTGCAAGTGCTCATGCTGTTGGCCTGGGGGCCTGTAGTTGGCCCAGGGGACAGAGCAGCTTCCCAGCCCCCACTACCCTCCAGCCCTGTGTACATAGACAGTCATTCTCCTCTTCCTATCCCCAGGTGCCCTGACCACCCGCTCTCCAAGAGCTGCCTGCCAAGTCAAGTCCTTCTTTTGCTGGGCACACAGAGGTCATGCTATCTTTCTGAGGGCCTGCAGAGGACTTTTCATAGGGAATGAGCCTCTAGAGGGGTGAAATAAAGCACCTGGCTCACTCCAGGAGACAGGAGATCCCGGGACGCTGGATGTGTGGCTGCCTCTGTTGGGGAAAGGATGGGTACCCTCTGACACCTAGATGCTCAGCTGAGAAGCCTTGCCAAAGTCAGGGGCTCCCAGCTAAAGTGTGTGTAAAAATCCCCTGGTGGGTGGGGGTGGAGGTGGGGGTGGGATACCAGGGGCTTATTCAAAAGCAGGTTTCCTGGCTCCTAACATAGGAAAATGCCTTTGAGCAGACCTGGGTTCTATATTTTCCATGAGTCCCCTAAGGCTATGCTGACACAGGGGTTCCCTGACACTGTTTTTTGAGAAACACAGGTGCGGTGACTTATTCTCCAGGCCCAAGATGGGTTGTATAAATGCCTAGCATTTCAAAAGGAATGGAGGTGATGGAGGGTCCAGGAGCTTCCCTGTCCTCTGCCTCAGTGTGCTAAGGAGAGCTCCAGACACAGCGGCTGTCACCAAGCCTTCCCTGTCCCACCCTGCCCCCAACAGGTGCCAGGCAGGGTCCCAGGAGGGAGTACTCAGCCCACAGTGGACAGAGGACAGCTGAGCTTGGGATCAAATACTGACCTCCAGTCTCTGGGGCTGTGTGTGTCCAGGGGTCCAGGAGGAGTATCACATGGCTCCTTCAAGCTCTTGGTTCCAAGCTCCGGTGACCAGCCGAGGGGCTGCCACTTTGCTAAGTTCCCCGTTTGAAAACAGGAAACAGGCTGTGAGCAGGCTGTGACCTGCTCCTGATCGCCCCATCCCATTGGCTGGTGAAACATGGTATATTGAACTCAATTGGCAGCCTGTCAGCTGTACCTACTTCTCCTTCCGGGCAGCGCAGGGAAGGACAAGGTGTTGCGGGGCCAGCCTTGTGGGGTCTAGGTGAGCCTCACTCTCCCTGCAGCCTTGCAGCAGTCTGGCTGTCCTTCGAGCCCCCGTCGATCTCTGACATTCAGGCATTAGCTCCCAGAACCCTTTAACATTAATTATTCCACTCTATGAGCTAGGCAGGATGGGGGCGGGCGTGCCCCATGAACAGATGGGAAAACCGAGGCTTGGATCACAGAGCTGGTGGGACACAGAGCCAGTGACGGACATAGAAAAGCACTGGGGTGGAGTTACAGTTCCATCTGGTGCCTCTTCTCTGAGCAAAGCTGTATCCATCACCACCAACAAAAAGTATCAGGGAAGCGAAACTCCTCAGCACTGATGTGATTCACGGCCACCCATCTTTGTGGCTTTGAGGGCAAGAGACTGAAGTCAGACAGAAAATAGAACCTTACTGGCTGGCCTAGAAGTTTACTGAGTTTCTTCAGAGCCATGACTCCCTTCTTCCCCATTAGAGGTAGTCAGGGTCCTGATTCAGATGGGGATTACTTCTTTGTTTTTCCTTAGAAATTTACCACCTATGAGATCCCTGAACAATTGAGTTTCATTTTCCTTGTTTGTGAATCTTATATAAATTGAGCCATGTATACTGTGTGTATTCTCCAGTGCCTTGCTTCTTTCATGCAACATTTACGTGTGTAAGATTCACTGATGCATTTCTGTGTAGCTAGTTTTTTCATTTCCATTGTTGTGTTGCTACATTATTATTATTACTATTTATTTTCCTTAAATTCTGGGACACATGTGCAGCCTTGTTATATAGGTATATATGTGCCATAGTGTTTGCTGCACCTGTTAGCCCATCATCTAGGTTTTAAGCCCTGCATGCATTAGGTATTTGTCCTAATGCTGACCCTCCTCTTGCCCCCCGCCCCCGACAGGCCCTGGTGTATGATGTTCCCTTCCCTGTGTCCATGTGTTCTCATTGTTCAACTTGTACTTATGAGTGAGAACATGCGGTGTTTGGTTTTCTGTTGCTGCATTATTTAAATACATCACTATTTATCTTTTTTTTTGTTTGTTTGTCTTTTGATGCACACTTGGCTTGTTCCTAGGACGGCCATCATGATCAGTGCCACTGATGATATTCTTACAGATTTGTCCAATTCCATGTACTTATCCGAGGTGAAATTGCTGGGTCTTAGAGTATGGCTAGCTTCAGCTGTGCCAGATTATGCCAAATGCTTTCCGGAGTGGCTGTGCCATTTCATATTCCTACCGGGAGCATATGAGAGTTCCAGGTACTCCATCTTCTCACCTTCACTTGATATGGTCATTATTATTATGATTTTAGAGACGGGGTCTTGCTCTGTCACCCAGGCTGGAGTGCAGTGGTGCCATGGTAGCTCACTACAACCTGGAACTCCTGGGCTCAAATGATCCTCCCACCTCAGCCTCCTGAGTAGCTAAGACTACAGGTATGTCGCCATGGTTGGCTAATAAAAATTTTCTTTTTGTAGAGATTGACCATGATGGCCACTATATTGCCCAGGCTGGTCTTGAACCCCTGGCCTCAAACGATTCTCCTGTCTTGGGCTCCCAAAGTGCTGAGATTACCAGTGTGAGCCACCATGCCTGGCCTGGTCAGTGTTTTTTAGTGCGTCACTGCATTAATGTGCAGTGGTCTCTCATCATGGTTTTAAGTTGCATTTCCCTAAGGACTAACGATGTTTAGCATCTTTTCAGGGGCTTATTCGCCATCCTTATGCCTTCTCCAGTGAAGTGTCCTTTCAAAGCCATTGCTCATTATGGATTGGATTATTTTAATGGTTTGTAGGTGTTCTTTACATATTCCTTTGGGTTTTTGTGCTTCTCAATGTCCTTTTCCACCCTACAGTTTGCATTTTGTACTCTCTTAATGGAGTTTTGTGATGAATAAAAGTCGCCAACTTTAAAGAACCCTATCAGTCCTTTGATACGGTTGAACTTCGACTCTCCTAATTGCAACATGAAATTTAATAAAGTCCTCCTGGTACCAAAGCATTCTGCCCTGAGCCAGTGTCATCCTCGGCGGGCATGGAGGTTTCTCCTGTATTCACTGCTGCAACCTCATAGGCTTGTGAGGCTTAAGAGGAGTTCAGTTGAGCCAAGCACTTAGAACAATGCTGTGCTGTGCTGTGCAAGTGCTGGCAGTTATTTTTCTAAGAACTTTATTGCTTGTCTTTTTCATTGGGAGCTCTATAAGGTTCCTGTTTACCTATTGACCTTGCTTACTGACATGGCCCTGCAAGCCCACCTCTCTGCAGTGCCGTCACTGTCATTAAGGATCTCCACATCTGCAAAGGTCTGTCTCTGGGCAGAGCTCATGAGGAGCGCCATGAATGGTGTGCCTCTGGCCTGCTAGCTGGCGTGCTCCGTGAGAGCAGGGGCCGTAGTTCAGTCATCTCCATCTCCTCCTGTCCAGCAGAGGACCTGGTGGTGTGACTCCCTGCGTAGAGTGAGGCTGGAATGCCCTGTGCCCTCTCCTCCCTGGGTTGTGTCCCGTAACATTTCAGTTTTCTCGCCTATTCTCTGCCCAGGCCTGGAATCTGCAAGGCACCAGGGTGGACTCCAAGCCCTTCTCGGCAGCCCTGTGGGCCTCTCACTCTGCAGAAGATAACCACAGGGGGAACATGTGTGGTTGCTGCCGCTTCCTCTTTTGGGGAAAGGAGAAGTTTCTTGGAAACCCCCTGACAGAGAGGGCTCTGGCCTGCATAGGTAGGATCCAGCTGAACCAGAAGATGCCACACATGGTCACCTGTTGGATGTTGCTTTTTCTCTGCAGCCAGAATTCTCTGTGGTGGAGGCAGAGGGCATTCTCACACTGCAGAATGGCCGGCTTAAACAACAAACATCTCTTTCTCATGGTTTTGGAAACTGGGAAGGCCAAGATCAAGGTGTTAGCAGATTCAGTGTCAGTGGAGGGCTTGATTCCTGGTTTGCAGATGGCCATCTTCTTGTTGTGTCCTCACATGGTGCTCAGGGGTCTCTACCCTCATGGCCTCATGACCTCCTAAAGATCCCACCTCGTGATCACATTGTGTGTTAGGATTTCAATATATGAACTATACGAACTTGGAGGGCACACATTCAGTTCATCACAGGCAGGCAAGGTCCCATTGTCATGTGGGGGACACAGGAATGGGTATCCTCCATTGCAGTGCTGAAGCCAGATGGCAAGGAGAGTCACCAAGAGGCACCAGGAGTGAGAAAGGGGAAATGCTGGTAGTATCTCAGAGTCTGGTGCCTCTCCTGGAATTTGAAATCTGAGCAGGTCTCCCTCTCGCTTGGACCCACCCTTTAGTGGCCTCCCACCGCATTCAGAGTGAATCCGAGCTCTCTACTGAGGCTTCCATGACCTGCCGCTTGTCTCCCTTTTTGTCACTCGGTCCGCTCCCAGTGTCACTTGCCACACGCCAGCCGACCCAGACTGCGTTCTGTTGCTCAGATGAGCCCTTGTCTTTGCAGTTCCTTCAGCTGAAAATACCTTCCGCTTGGCTTTTCCATCTCTGGCTTTCTCATCGTTAGGCAGCAGCTCCATGGTCACTCCTCCTGCGGTCTTCTCCTGACCCCTCTCTCGGGATCTGTCCTTGTTTTGCTTATTTGTATACTTGTACATTTCCTGCCTCAAATGCCACGATGGCAGGGACTTTGTCTGTGTCATCATCTGTGCCCCCAGCACCTAGCACAGTGCCTGCTGCAGAGCGGGTGCTCAGTAAGTAATTGTGTGAATGAATGAATGACGGGACCATTCATCTCTGTTGAATGCAGAGAAGTGGACACCTGGGCTGTGGCTGCAGCTCAGCCCTGACTCACTGTGGGATTCTGGGCAGGCCACCACCCCTGTCTGATTTTCGGCTTTCCTAATTGCAACATGAAGTTAAATGACATCCTTTTAGCACCAAAGCATTCTACACTGAGCAAACCGTTGAGTACTAGAAGCTACCCCCACTACCGGTCTGGATGCCTGACATGCTTGGAACTGCAGCACTGATATACCTTCTTTGAGAAATTCAGCAAGAATGTATCAGTCCCAGGTGTGCCTCCCAGCGCTGGAATAGCAAACCATAACAGGCCAGGTGTTTTTCACAGGTGACACAAAATTTGGTCGTGTCAATCTTGTTTTTCTGCAGCTAGATGTGCCCATATAACCTTTTATTAAGTTTCAAAGGTTCTTAATATTGTAGGGTTTAAAAACTGGGGCTGCAGACAGAATGCACTATGGGGCACTGCTGTGGTTGTATTGAGACATAACAGGGTGGGGCTGGGCACAGGCCCACTTATTTCTACACTGCAGGCTCCGGGAGCTTCAATCACTATTACTGGACTTTCTGGTCTTCACAAACCTCAGGACTGTCAGAACTGCTGATTGTGTAAAGATTCATGGTTAAGATTTGGAGAAAATCCAACTTTTCTTATCAGGAGACCACACACAGCCTGTTCTTGCGACATCTGTTTGGGCAAAGGTGTTGAGGAGCAGTTTGGATGGGGTTAAGGGCCATCAGGGCCATTGAATATCATTTTAAGGTTTGTGCCTTGCACAGATGACCTAGAAAATGGCAGCAGTGGGCCGGGCATAGTGGCAGATCACAAGGTCAGGAAACTGAGACCATCCTGGCCAACATGGTAAAACCCCAGGTCTACCAAAAATATGAAAAATTAGCCGAGCATGGTGGCGCATGCCTGTAGTCCCACCTACTCAGGAGGCTGAGATAAAAGAATTGCTTGAACCTGGGAGGGAGAAGTTACAGTGAGCCAACCTGGGCGACAGGCAGCAGTGATGCTAAAATCCAGCCCTGGCTCTGCTGTTCCAAGCTGGACCTGTGTCCGTGTAGATAAAGCTGGCACTTGTGTCCACATATTGGAAAAGAAGAATCATATGGTCTGCT